AGGAAGCTGGGTGCATCTTGTTTGGCCATTTAGCTTCACAAGCCTTGATGACAACAGGAAGAACACAGTGGTACCAGCTGGCCTGCCCTTACCCCTCAAGGCCCCTTCAGGAGGGCGGAGGAGGCTCTGTTGCCCGGAGGTGGTGAAGGGGCTGAGGCCACGGCCTGGGGCTGCTTGAAGGCTTTATAACCCAGGAGTATCGCCCAGCAGGGAGATTCCAGTGGAAAATGTATTGTGTCACTCCTAGAAGCCGGCCCAGGCCACACAGGACTCCCTCATCTCTGGCTCCCTCCCCAAAGGATGAGGTCCGGGGGTCAGACCAGAAACTGAATCCTGCCTCTGCTTCTCAGTGGCCTGTGGCCCTGGTCTGTCACGTCCTCTCCTCGGCCCCGACTTGCCCATCTACGGAATGGGGAGGCCAAAGCGTCCCTGGGAGGATTCCGTGAGCCACCGCGGGGGAACATCCAGGCTCAGCCCAGTGTCTGGCAGATGACGGGAGCCTGATAAACACTAGCTCCAACCATCATGAGGTCTGAACTCCCGATCTGAGAGATTGTTTTTTCTTCTTCCTTCTGGCAGCTTCTTGGCATCTACATAGCGCCTGTGGAGCTGTTTTGGAGTCTGAAGGAAAAAAAAAAAAACAGACCCTTCCACCTTTCCCAGAAGCCTACTCTTACTGTTTCCTTTCCAACTCCAGGAGCAGACACGGGGCGGGGGGATGGGAAGCGGGGCCACCTCCACGCCAGGTCCAGGTGGTGATGGGAGACACACTCCAGTGAATGTCTCCTAAGGAGCTTTTCCTCCCGTCCAGGGCCCATATCACACCCCGGGACACACACGCTGGGCTTGACCCCACACCTGCCATGGAGAAAGGCAAGCTCACCACTCACACAACCAGGACGCCTTTGCTGGGGTTTTTAATAGGAATGTTAACCATCTAGGTAGTTGGCTTTGCTGGTGCAGCAAAGATGTTTGGGAATACTTGCTTGTGTTTTAAATCGATCGATGAGGCTCTTAGAGGAAAGAAGAGGTGGGTGTGCAGACCTGAGGATGCCCTCTGTGGGTGAGCTTGCGCTCAGGCCTATTTTCAGTGGGGCTGGCATGGCCTGGGCCGCTGCTGGGGTGGTGTTAGATTTTATACCGGACACACGCTCCTGGGCAATACTGCTTGGGTTATAAAGTCCCCAGGGCCTTCACCCCCTCAACGTGAACCTCTTGTGTTCCCAGTGAGCACAAAGGTGAACAAGACACATCCTCCTCACTCTCGGGGAGCTCCAAGTTTCGAGGGGGTGGCAGGTGACAAAGCTGACAATTACAACAGGCTGTGATGCTATTATGGGAGGCAACGCAGGAGCTGCGGGAGTGCTGGGGACTGGCATTTAACACACCAAGGTTGGAAGGAGGGTAGCCAGGGAAGGCTCTCTGGAAGGAAACAATAGCTAAGCTGAGCTCTGAGCCTTGCTTGTGAGGGTTACTGCCACAAGCAAATGCCGAATTACCTGAAAGGGAAAGAGTGCTCCGGGCCACGAGGAACAGATTGTGCAAAGGCCTGGAGGTGAGAAAAACGTATGGCAGCCTGTTCCCACCCTTTCTGTGTTCCTAGAAATCTGCAAGGTGATGAAACACAGTGAAAGCACAGTAGTGGCAGGACAGTGAACCCCGGGGATGCCGGGATCCCCTACTCGTCTGCGATGCACTGCAGGATGGCAGGCAAGTTGCCTGAGCCCTCTGAGCCTCGGCTTCCTCATCTGAAATGGCCACAGCACCACCTTCCCTGGAGGATTACTATGAGGATTCCTTGAGGGTGCATGCAAAGGGATCAGGCTGATTCTTCCAATCAGGGACCATCTTGGTGCTCAGAGAGGCAGGGGGAGCCTAGCAACCCCATGGGAACCGCCTGTTCTCTGGCTGCCCTGGTCTGAGGCTCTGCTCCCTTCTCAGGACCCAGCCCGCAGGATCCTGGGAGCTGACGGCCCCACACCAAATCAGGCATCACCACACATACATACATCATCTGGTTCAATCTACACCTCCACCCCAGGATCCAGGTGGGTGCACTAACACTCGAAGAGGTAAAACAACTTGCTTAAGGTCACACAGCTCTGAAAAAGTGGGACCAAGACTTAACTCTTACTCGTGGCTCAGAGCGACCAGGATCTTACCAATGTGTTTAAAGCAAGGCTGAGAATATGAAATGCTTGTGCTTGTTCTAAAGGCGTGCGTAGTTACTCAGTAGTGTCTCTCTGCGACCGCATGGACTGTAGCCTGCTAGGCTCCTTTGTCCATGGAATTCCCCAGACAAGAATACTGAAGTAGGTTGTCATGCCCTCTTCCAGGGAATCTTCCCAAACCCAAGGACTGAACCCAAGTCTCCTGAGTCTTCTACACTGGCAGGCGGATTCTTTACCACTGTGCCACCTGGCAAGCTGCTTGTTCTAAATACTTTGCATACATCTCTCATTTAATCTTTCCTAACAACTCAGAAGAAGGTATGACTTCTATCCTGACTTCACAGTGCATGAAACTGAGGCACCCAGGGCATGAATGACTTGCCCAAGGCCACATACCTTGCAAGATGCCTTAAATCAGGCCCCTGTCCCAACTTGAGCCCTATGTCCCTGTCCTCATCTCAAACAAACCTCATTCATTGTCTTCACTCTGTTCCTGTCAAAGGACCTTTGCAGCATTTGCTGTGCCCTCTGCCCCCAATGCATTTCCCACTGGTCTTCACACAGCTTTCTCCTCCTTATTTGGGTCTGTTCCATTATCACCTCCTCTGAGAAGCCCTCCAGGTTGACCCTAAAGAAACGTTTCCTTGCTCCAGCCTAGCTCTCATGCCATTGGGTTGTATCTTCTTCCCAGAACTACGGGTTGATTTGTTCATACTGTGCGTCTCCCCTCTGCAATATAAGTCTCTCGGGTCCGAATGGGTAAAAGAGCTCAGACCGTGCCAACCCTAGGGGAGCTTTCCACCTACTTAAAGTTAAGATAACAGAAGGCAGGCGTTCATCCATCCCTCTAGTCTGATTTCAGAACACCCCTTCCCAGCTCTCCTCTGTCTCCCCTCTCTCTTTGGGGTGTGAAATCCGAGTTCTGAGCAGCAAGAAGGGAAGCCATATCTGGGAAAGCAACAGAGCATGGAACACTCAGCGTCTGTCATCCCTACAGGAGGCTGGACCCAGGAAACTGACAAGATTCCCAGCATGCTCTGCAGCCCCATCACCTGTCAAACTGCACAGGCAGATGGAATTCCCCCAGACTGCCTGGCGTGGGGGCTGCGAGAGACTACAGCCAGTAAAGCCCACACTTCCTGCAGAGATCCCAGCCTCAGAGAATCCCACTTCCATCCATCCAGACTCCAGGCAGCCAGCGGGCACGCAAGAAATATAATAGAAACAGGGGAAGCCCAAGAAAGTCAGGTCATGGTCCTACCTCCTCTCTCACGTGAGCCCTGGGGCTGAACTAGACTTTGTAAAACTTTCTGAAGAAATAGTCACACATGATTCAAAATGAAAATACAAAAAAGTTAATAGTGAAAGGCTCACTCCTCCTTTATCTCTCCTACCAAATCCCCTGGTAAGTAGTCATTACTCTTCCTTGATGCAAATGAAACAGTTACAAAAATATACTCTTACTTCTCTTAAAAAAAAGGGGGGGGGTTCCATATTATGTATATGCACACCTTTTTTTCCCTCCCCTAGAAGACAGCTCTATATTTGTACACAGGAAGGTGTCTGCATACATGTCTGTGTATGTATGCACCTGTATACACACACACACACACACACACACACACACAACTAATTAAGGGCTTTCTGTAATTTTCACCCAATTCTCCTGGAAAGAGGTATTTAGATTGGGGGTCAGGAGGGGTCATTTTTCAGCCCAGGCACAAATGGCTGGGCGGCTCCCTCCAGCTGATCAACCATGGACTCTGTCTGCCTTAAACTCCAAGCAGGCACCAGGGGCCTGCTACCTGGAAATAACATCTCTGTCTCCCGTTTTCATGACCATCTATAGTCTACCAGATACTAGCAGAAATCCCATTCTAGAAAGCAACCGAGACTCAGAGAGGTAAAGTGACTAGCCCAAGGTCACACAGCCAGGAAGTGGAGCTGGCAGGGATCACACGCCATCTGCCTACTGTCAAAGCCAGTCTGCCCACTCACCTAGCCTTTCGTGGTCCTTAGTCCACACCCCGCTTCACAGCCCCGTAACAGAACCAGGGGCCCAGAGGTCATGGTCCACAGTTAAGTTCCCAGCCCGGCAGGACTTGGGCGGTCAGGCGCTTCCGCCATCACTTCCCTGCGGTCAGCTCGACCCGCAGCCCGGCCTCCCGTGCGTCCTGCCCGGGCGGACGCTGGGCGCGCAGCCTCTGCGGGGCCCGGGAGTCCGGGCGAGCTCGAGGAAGGTCGCCGGGCTCCCGCAAAGTGCTCCTCGGGCGCTGCCTCGCTTAATTCTCCCAGTTACCCATGGAGCCTGACCCACCTGAACCCATTTCACAGACCGGAGGCGCAGAGACCCGCGCAGCCACCAAAGGTCACGCAGCCCTGCTCGCACCCAGCTGCCGCCGATTTCAAAACTTTCCTCCCCGGCGCATCGCGAAGCCAACGACTTTCTGGTGCGGGGCGCGCACAACAGCTGAGCGCGCCCAGGCACTCTATCTCCCGGGGGCCTGCTCTGCCCGGGGAGGGGGGAGCCAGGACCCTGCTCCCTCCCGGGTCTGCAGTCGCAGGCGGGGCTTCCCGGCCAACTCCGAGGGCGCCGGGGCACAGCGGCCCCGGCACTTACTCAGCATCGTCGCAGCCTGCAAAGCGGCCGGCGGGGAACCCATTTGAAGGAAGGGGAGACTGAGGCGCCCAGAGAGCCAGCTACTAGCCCAAGGTCACACAGCGCGGGGGCTCAGAGCCGAGCGGCCGGCAGTGGGCTGGGAGCCCCAGGGCCAGCCAGCCGGCGGTCCCCGCCCCCGTCCCCGCGCGCGCCCCCCGCGGGATACTCACAGCCGGTTTTGCCCTCCAGCTCCCGCACCTCCTCGGACGCGGAGTGGGCAGCGCCCATGGTGCCCGCGGAGGGGTGGGGGCCCCGGGGCGTTCGTCTGTCCCAGGCCCTGAGCTGGCGTCAGCTGCGCCGCGGCCGCACCGGCCTCGGGTCCAACGCCGGTCGGGACGCCAGGAACGGGTCTGAGCCGCGGGTTCCGCGTGGGGCGCGAGCGCAGCCTCTTATAGAAGCGGCGGGCGGAGCGCCACGGTCCTAGCGCGCGCCGGCTTCGCGAACGGCCGGGAGTGGGCAGCGCCCAGCCCTGGGCGGGGGACCCAGGTTCCTCAGCCCTCGCAGCAGCAGCCGTGCTCATCCTTTCTGCACCCTTGCCAGCCCTGGGAAGAAGCAGGTGTGAGCAGAGTTGGGGTATACAGGTAGGAGGGATCAGAACAAATAGAGGTTCCACGCCCACGCCCACGCCCACGCCCACCCCCACCCCGTTTCCACTACACCTCCTCCCAGTTCTCAGAAAGGAAACTCCCTGGGAAGAGTGAAGAAGGACAGCGTTAATTAGCTCTACGGTGAACAGCAATAAAGATAATATGTTAATAATAATAGCAATTCAGCTTGAATGCACACGGAGGGGGTGTTTTGCTTAGCTTATTCCAGGAGAGTCCAACATGATGAAGTGGACACACCCACAGACAAGACTATCCAGTCCTAGTCGCTCAGCCTAGTAGCTTAGGATGGAGACCTTCTCAAACTTGAAGTTCAGGGACTCAGGCAGGGCCCAGGAGGCTGCATTTCAACCTGTCAGAGAATGCAATCCTTCTGGGAGAAGTTCTGACTTAGGCTGGCTGTAGGGAGTTGGGTTCTGTTAACCAGGATGGGTGACCCCAGCCAGTCCCACCCGCTGAGCTGTCTGTGACTCCGTCTCCTTAAGATGGGGATAATAATAGTTGATGAGAACCTCCATCAGAAGGGGCTTCCCTGGTGGCTCAGATGGTAAAGCGCCTGTCTGCAGTGCAGGAGACCCAGGTTCGATCCCCGGGTTGGGAACGTCCCCTGGAGAAGGAAATGGCAGCCCACTCCAGTAGTCTTGTCTGGAAAATCCCATGGATGGAGGAGCCTGGTAGGCTACAGTCTGTGGGGCTGCAAAGAGTCGGACACTACTGAGCAACTCCACCACTTTCCATCAGAAGGGCTTGGGCTGGGACACAGTGCAAAGGCAGTCGCTGTGGAGTCATGTCCACTTTACAACAAAGCAACTGGTTCTCAGAAAGGTCACACAGCCAGGGCAGAAATTCAAAGTCAACATATTCCGTCTCAAGCGCAGACCACTGCGCTCCACGGTGCCTGGTGATGTGTTATTAGCATGTATTTGGGGGCTGTCCTGGGTGCCAGGCTCTGTTGATAGTGCTGGCTGGGGGAGACTTGAGCAGGCCCACTTACATCTATGTCACAGGAGGCTGGGGAGGGGGTGCTGAGAACCAACTGCTCGTTACCTGCAGACCACAGGTCCAAGCTGAGGGTCACAGCCCTTTCAGAGTAGAGGAGCTGTTCAAAGTCACCGAGGAGCTTCCTGAAACCTACCAGAGCAGGGAATCAGCCCCCTCCTGGTCGAAAAGCCCCTTCACACCCTTGTTACTCACTGAGCAGGGGCTGCACCTGGAATGCGCATTTGCAAAAGCTTGGCAGGGCTGAGACCTCGCCAAGCTGGGGAAATGTTGGCTGCGGGGCATTAACTGGTGCAAGCAAACTGGAAAGTCGCCTGGGAGGCTGCACTTCAGAAGGAATCCAGAAACCCAGGCTGTCCTCTGGAACAGGAAAGGGGTCCCGGGGACCCTTGGGAATTACCCAAAGCTGCCGGACACAAGTTTTGTTCTGACTTAAAATATCTGTTCCTGGAATTTTATTCTATTAAATTATCCAGTGATTACATGCTGGGGCTTTTTGCTGGGGAGAGAGAAAACGATGTTCTCATGCATCTCCTCCCTTTGGCACGGCTGCTCTCAGAGTTGGTACAGTGCAGCTGGGTGGGGGTGAAAGCCCTGGAACAGTGCCCAGGAGCATGGAGGGTCACCTGGCTCTGCTCTGGCCCTTGGGTGATCGCCCAGAGACCCCCCCAGTGTATGGGGTGAAGGGAGGTGGTCTCTATTCCATCACCCGTCTACACGGTCAACTTCATCTCAAGCCCTGCTGGCCACTGTCAGCTCCTAGACAAGCATTTGTGCTGGTCCCTTCTGCCTGAAACTCCCCTCCCTTCCCTACTCCCATGGCGGGGCCTCCTGGATATCAGTATAAACATCACCTCCTTGGAGAGTCCTTCTCAGGGCCCCCATCCCCTGTTCTGGGTTCACTGCCAAACATGCCACCTTCACCAGCCAGCAGGAGCTGAGAGGCTGGGCTGTGATGACCATGGGAAATTTATTCCTGATGGCAGGGCTTGGAGGAGTTAAGAACTCCAGGCATGAGGGAGGCACATTGTGCAGGTTTACTTGTTCATTCATTTATTCACTGCCTGTTTATCCAGGGCCTGCTGCGTATAGGGGCCTGCGTGGGTCCTGGAGCCACAACCAGGAATAACTGGGAGCCTCACTTCTGCTCTCGAGAGTCCTGAAGGAGTGGGAGACGGACACACAGGAGGTGACAACACAGCGGGGTAAACAAGGCCCCTGGAGATCGGGACTGATCCAACCAGAATGGCCCCTGGATAGATTCTGTAATAGCCTAAGCTGAGCTTTGGGGAGTCTGTGACTGTCCCTAACTGTGCTCCCCAAAGGACAGGTCAGAGGCGCAGATGGCTGGACAGGTTTGGGGGCCCTGCGGTCGCCCACCCTCTGCCTGGGCTTTGCCTTGTTCCCTGGCCGTGATGCCCACACACCGCAGGGCTCTCTGCACACAAGCCTGTGTCACTGCTCTAGGACGTCAGGCCTTTAATTCAATCCAGCTAATGGCGTCAGAGCATCCAGGAGGCCTGGAGTGCTGCGTGGGGTCTGGCTGGGCTGACTGGCTCTGTTGTCTGGAGCCCTGGAAGTGGGGGGCGCCCCCTGTGGCGACCTTTATCCTCCCCCTCACTCAGCGTGACCTTCTTCAGAGGGCCAGGAAAACACTTTGGTCACCAGGCAACTGCCTCTCTTCTCCCAGAGGAGCTGATTAAAAACAGCGGTGGCGGTGAGAACAGCTGGTACCTGTGAGCCCGTGGAGGGCAGCCGAGCCCAGAGATGGCGAGGGCCGTCCTCGTTCGCATAAGTGAAGCAGACCATCGAACCACTCGTGGGCAAGTGGCTTTGCTTCCCCGGGCCTCGGCTTCCCATCTGTAGAGTGGGATAATAATGGTGCCATCTTATGATGCTTGCATGGATTCATACATGTGAGGAGTGCCTGACACAGGAAGTGCCATCCAGCAGGGTGTGCAGTGAACAGGCTCTGAGGAAGCAGAGGGGAAGCTCTACTTTACAACCTCGTTGATTTCCCTCATAGATGGAAATCCACCACAGTGGATTTCAAGCTACCAGTAATTGAACAATGGGCTTGCAAAACTCTTGAATGTTTAATCATTTGTTCTCACAAGCTGGTCTGAGATAACTTTGTACACCACTACACAGTCTGCTGTTATTATGAATCACATGTTCATCTGTCGGTTCATTCATTCATCCACCCATTCACTCATTCACTACTGAGTGCTGGGGATTCCGATACTAGAGCAAGGTCATTGGTCTCTGAGGCTGGAAGGAAAGAGATAGGAACAGATCATCACTAGTGGGTATCCAATACATGCCCATTTTATTGATGGGAAAACCAGGGTGTTCAGCATGGGTGGTAAACCAGAATCAGAGCACATATATGAAGCTGTGTAAACGGCAGTTCCTATAATTCACCTGTACTGCCCTCCTGTCCCTCTCGTCACTTAGCTTGGGGGATCTCCCAAGGCTTGGCAGTGTTCTGGGAGCAACATATCACTTTTCTTAACTTGGGGACCACTGACCCTAGGAAAGCTATGGGGATTCCAAGAGCCATCTTGCCAGGCCTTTGACTCAGAGAACACCACACCTAAGTCACTTCAAACAAGGAAGGACGTCGTGCTCTCATAAAATACATCCAGGGAAGGAAACCCCAGCAACGGCTACACCAGCATCTTGACTCTGAAACAAGTTTCCTCTTACCCTCATTTAAGCCCCTTACGCTGGTCTCATTTGTCTGGGCCTCTCGGTTTCAGTGTGAATGAATGAGAGAAGAATCAACCCCAATTTGCATTTTGAATTAAAGTTATCCTTTTGGTTATCTTTTAAACAATCCTTTCTCACCCAAGGCACCTTAATCTTTGAAGCTAACCTTGGATGACGGTGCCCTGTAGGAGATGGATTCAGATCTGAGTTGCCTCCAGGCTCTGCCACTCCCCAGGTAGAGTGTGGCCTTGGGTTGGTTCCTTAGCAACGCTGAACCTTGATGTCCTCATCTGTATAATGGGTCCACAGTCCCATCTCTATAAATAGGACTCAGCAAGGGTGTTTCATGGCTAGGTGACAGGACTGGGGGTGGATGCTGAGCAGGCCACCTTGGCGACCATGAACTTGACCAGCCGGGCAGTACCACTGGCTGGGATCCTACCACCTGGCTCGTCTTAGCACCTCCTCAGCCAAGGGGAGGGCGTGGGGGCAGGCACAGACATCCCTTCCCTCTCTCCCTCCATCCCCTCACTCCTGGGGCGGCTGAAAGTACAAGCCGGACCGCCTGAGTGCCCGGGAGGCAGGGTGATAAACATATGCTGGGGTGCAGAGCCGGGTGCAGTCGATAATTTGGGGCTGATTTGGGACAGGATGGAGCAGGTACCTCCCATCTGGGCCAGACGGAGGGCAGAGACAGGCCGGGGCGGGCGGGGTTGAAGGTGGAGGTGAGAGGTGGGCCCAGGTACCCCACCCCGCGAGCCCCTCCCCCAGCTGTGCTGACTTGGCAGCACCCTGGGTGCTCCCGCTGACTGGGCACGCTTCCCAGATGTCCACCCGGCAGTGTCCTCGGGCTGCGGACAGCAGGGACGGGAACCGCATCCAGTTCTACCCTTCATGGAGAACAACGATGTGGATGTGAAGCAGAGACAGGCGGCTCTCCGGCTGTCCTTTTGAGACTCCTTAAGCAGAGGAGGCATCCCCTCTGCCTGAGAGACTCCAGGGTGGCGTCAGGGATGGCTGGGAGACAAAGGTGCTCTGTGTTCCTCGCTGCATGTAGTAGAGACAGGTGAAAATCCTGGGCAGGGTTGAGTGCTCTGAGTTGGCCAAGGGGCTGCTGCAGGAAGAAACGCCGGGAGAAGAAGCCCCTCCTCCTTCTCCTGCAACAGAGGGAGCCAAGTTGCGAGGGGCTCCAGGAGGGATCAAAAGGCCCCTGGGAATTGACTAGCTCGACCCTTTCATTTTCACCAGGGAGGAAGCTCAGAGAGGTCAAGGTCACGGGGGTCTAAGGTCCAAAGAGGGAGGGCGTGCAGAGAGGACCACGGGCCTCAAGCCCAACCTCCAGATATCACAGAGTGAGGGGAGGCCTGGGGATCCTGGGGAGGGGGCGGCCAGCGCCAACAGCAGGGAACTCACCTCCGTGGAGCCCCTGGGCTTGCCAGTCAGCAGAACAGGAGAGCAGGTGCTGGGCGGGGGTCCAGAAGAGGGCTTCTGGGAAAAGCCATCCTTCCCGGGAGAACTTGGTCACCCTGAGGCCAGGGCAGACAGCACTGGGGCTGCCCCGAAACCCGCGGGGGGCTCAGATACTGCTGTTTGCACTCAGGGCTGAGGAGCCAGGACCCTCCAGGGGCTTAGGGTGAGGACTGGGGGCTTGGCTGACAACAGAAGACCCCTCCCCCACCCCTGTCTTCACGCTCTACAGACTGAGCCTTTATTTCCTCTTCAGGAAGGTGCAGTCAGAGGACTCATTGCTTTAGATCGTCTTCTTGACATTCAAAAGTCAAGAGCAGAATTTTTCTTGAGATGCAGAGATATAGATTTAGAAACAGCAGCGCGAGGCTACAGTCTCTCTGAGGACGACTTGGGACCTGCAGGGCGGCCCTGGCTGCTGGGGATCGAGCAGCCAAGAGACCAGGTGCAGAATGAACCGGAGCAGCGTCCTCAGATGCAGCCGCACCTCTGAACCACCAGTGTGCGTGCGTGTTTAGTTGCTTAGTCGTGTCTGACTCTTTTGCAATCCTGTGGGCTGTAGCCCGCCAGGTTCCTCTGTCCATGGGATTTCCCAGGCAAGAATACTGAAGTAGGTAGCCATTTCTTTTCCAGGGGATCTTCCCAACCCAGGAATCGAACCTATATCTCCTACAAGGGCAGGCTGGGTTCTTCACTGAGCCACGTGGGAAGTGTTGAAAACCCGCAAATGCTCAAGCCACACCCCAAACCCCAATTAAAGCAGGCTGGGGGTGGGGATCTGAATGTTAATCCCCCAGGTGATTCCAAGACATTACCAAGCTCCAGGCGCACTGCCTCCATCCTAGCTGTGGTGACAAACAGCTGGGGAGGTTATAGCCTGCAATCAGCATCCCTGGGGTGGGGGCTGGGGTTCCCAGGTGTTGTTTTTATAAAGGGTGGAGTACGATGAAGCACATGGACAGGGCGGTGTGACTCCTGGGCCACCTGGGTGCAGTGTTTGCTTGGAGAGTCCTGGTAGCATGACCTTCGGCTGAGACCCGCCGCTGGGCAGCTGTGCGGAAAGACGCAGCTCGTTAACTCCACGTCCAGAGATGAGAGCCTTGAGGGCTGTAACAGTCCACCCAGGGACAGCTCACAGGAGGCACTGTGTGAGCCCTTCTTCAGGGCCAGTCACCCAACCTCCGCCTCTTTAAACCCAGGGAACATCCGGGGCCTCCCAGGGAGAGCCGCTCTCTGTAGGGACAGTTCTGGTTAAGGAAGCCTCAGGAACTTGGGGAGAACATCAGGGCGCCCTTGGGCAAGTCCTCTCTGGCTTCAGTGTTTCCCTTGTTTTTTAAAAAGACTGACTCACCCTTTGCCCCTCCTTGAAGAACGAGGGTGAATGCTTGGGGCTCTCTGAGGGTCAGGTGAAATGAGTTTTTAAACGATGGTTTTTCTAGCCCCGCCTAGATGTCAGAAGACAAAAACTGAACCTTAGAAAGGGGGAAACTGAGGCTTGGGGTGGGCGCTAAGTTTTGGGGAGCCAAGGTGCAAGGTCAACAACACATGCAGTCACAATAACCCCCAAAGATCCCCCGTGGACATAAAGTATGAACCTTACAGTTTCATGCACATGGCCTGGTGCAGTAAATATGCAAAATGTATACATGCAAATGTGCAGTAACATACCTCGCAGGAGCGCCGGCAAGACATAGTTTTCAAGAGTATATTTTAAGTTGGAACTTCCCTTTTCTTTCTCCTCCCCTCTAGTACTTCCACTGAAAGCTCACAGCTCCTGGCGGGGAGCCATAGTTTAACCTCAGTTTGACTTAATCTTTGTACTTTCTCTCTACCCAGAATTTATGAACTTCAGAAAAAGTCAGCGGTTACCTGCTGGGGCCTGGAGCAAGTTCTGGACTGGAGTCCTCCTTTCCTTAAACAGCAGGAGTTCCCACACTCGGGTGTGAATGAGAAGCCCCCAGCAGTGGGCTGGGCTTGGGGCCTGGGGTCTGCGCGTGTTAGAGGCCCCTCAGGCATCACCCTGAGGCGGGGGGTGGAGGTGGGGGTGGCAGGGTGGAGGCCCCAGCCCTCTTGCTGCCCAGGAAGCATCTAAATGCAAAGGGGCCAGGCACCGCCCGCCTCCCCCTGCTGACCTCTGCTGTCCATCCCCAGTCCACTGGTCAGGTGGCCAGCGTGGGGCCAGCAGTGGGGTGGTGAGGTGGGAAAGTGACAGGTTAGTTTGGCTTCTTGACATTCAAAAGTCAAGAACAAATCCCACCTTGGGAAACACCTGGCCCTGTTCCAACACCTTCATTGAATTCCCCAGGCTCAGCGCATCCCTCTGGGAAGTGGCAGGGGTGGGCAGTGAGGCTGTTCCGGCAGCTGTTACCCACCCCCCAGCCCCCCAAGATGCTGCTGCTCTGCTCTGACGTCACCAGAAAACATCTCCCGTCAGGCCTGGGCAGCTATTCTTAGTCTGGAGAACACACCTCTGCCTGTTAGAAGTCTCTAGACTTGAGCAGGCTTTTTATAAATCACTTAGAAACTTGCAGCCTGCCGGGGGTGCTGGTTAAGTACTTCTTTCTTGTACGCAGGATGTTCGGCAGTCTCAGGGGTGGGTGCACCCCGCCCCCTCCCTCCCCCGGGAACCTTGCAGACAATGTCGTTACATCAGCAGTGATCACTTCCAGCGACTGAACTTGCACGAAGCCCTTCAGCACTAGCAGCAAACAGAGGGTGTGTTCTGTGTGTGGAGCTGCGTGTGAGTGATTTCAGGGGCAGGTACAGTGTGGCGATTATTACAGAGCCCCTGGAAGACCTGGTTCAATCCAGCCTGCTGGTCATGTGACCAAGAGGAGCTCACTTTGCGTGTCTTTGCCTCTAGGGACCCCGGACACTCACCATCGGAGGGTGCCAGGTGCTGTGAAGGTGCTACTGCTAATGCAGCGGCTCAGTTGTGTCCGACTCATTGTGACCCCACCGACTGTG